CCTGAGGTGTAACAACGTTCTCAGAGGAAAAGGCATCTGTTTCGTTGTTGGGACCAGATGGCACAGCTTGTTTCGGCTGAATCTCTTTTTAACTGCACAGACCTGCCCCTGCTGCATATGGCTTAACTCACAATAAATGATTCAGAAAACGATAACGTGCCTCCAAACAGATGAGGGGTCAGCTCCTTGCTAATGGAATGTCTTCTGCTGTTCAACATCAGACAGAGCAATTGTGTCTGTTTAATTAGAGAAATATCAAGATGCTCCAGTTAAGTTAAGTACTTTGTTTTTTAATAGCGAGCAGATCCATACATCTTTCAAAGTTAAACTTAAAAAAAGGAAAGTTATAAGTTAAAAGCTAAAAGAAACAGAATTTAGCTAAAAGCCTATACAGTAACAAAAGGATAATTAAAAGTTAAAAGTGCAGAATGTAGCTAAAAGCCTATAACCAAAGGATAATTAAAAGCTAAAACAAAATGTAGCTAAAAGCCTGTGGTAACAAAAGGCTAGTTAAAAGCTAAAAGAAACAAAATATAGCTAAAAGCCTATATAGTAACAAAAGGATAGTTAAAAGCTAAAACAAAATGTAGCTAAAAGCCTGTATAGTAACAAAAGGCTAGTTAAAAGCTAAAAGTAGCAGAATGTAGCTAAAAGCCTATAACAAAAGGATAATTAAAAGCTAAAACAAAATGTAGCTAAAAGCCTGTATAGTAAGAAAGGCTAGTTAAAAGCTAAAACAGAATGTAGCTAAAAGCCTGTATAGTAACAAAAGGATAGTTAAAAGCTAAAAGAAACAGAATTTAGCTAAAAGCCTATATAGTAACAAATGATAATTAAAAGCCAAAAGTAGCAGAATGAAGCTGAAAGCCTATATAGTAACAAAAGGATAATTAAAAGTTAAAAGTGCAGAATGTAGCTAAAAGCCTATAACAAAAGGATAGTTAAAAGCTAAAACAAAATGTAGCTAAAAGCCTGTATAGTAACAAAAGGCTAGTTAAAAGCTAAAAGTGCAGAATGTAGCTAAAAGCCTATATAGTAACAAATGATAATTAAAAGCCAAAAGTAGCAGAATGAAGCTGAAAGCCTATATAATAACAAAAGGCTAATTAAATGCTAAAACCTATAGAATGTAGCCTATTGCATATTAGCATAAAAAAATAGAGCAACTATGTTGGAGCAGATTTTAATAAGTGTAATAAGAAATTAATCCTAATGTGGAAAATACTTGAAAATGAAGTTAGATATTTTGAAAAGTATGGAAGTTATGAAAACRAAAAATCAAAGCACTTATTTCCTGAATGAGCTGAACAAATGGCTAAAATAGCACAAAGTATGCAGAAGTAGATTGCATAAATGTATGGAAAATAAAAAAACAGAGAAGTGACAGAGTGAACGCTACATCTGAATATTACTAAATGTGTTTGAGTGGGATATTATATCAGGCACATCTACAATCAGATTCATACAAAATTGGCTCTAGCTTAAAATAAATCCACGTTTTGTTTGGGGAAAATGCAAAGAGACCAAAGAATCAGCTTCTTTTTGCTTTRTCAAGTGATTTCAGGACTGATGGGGGACATCAAAGTGAAAGTCTCACCCCCCCCCCCTTCCCCGTCCTTTTCTGACATGGACATTAGTGCATCTGAGACATGTCCCATACAAATGTCAGCTTCTTTCTGTTCTGTGTAGGAAGATTAGAAGGAAAGAAGCCGACAAGGGCAAAGGGAAAAGAAGAGGCAAATCTGTGGAGACATGAATAGCTTGGAGGGTTTTTTTTCTTATTTTCTTATTTTTTATTTTTTTGTTTAGAAACAGAGAGAATGTGGGGAAGATGGAGCGGTGACTTTACCCCCACACTCCACTCTGTGATTATATTTTATGATCGGAGTGTTTGTCGAACAGAAGCGAGAAGCTGTAAAAATGTTTTATGTTCAACACAAATGTTTACATCATAGACACTATGTCTTCAAGGGAAGCAGAGAAAAAGAGAAAAGATTACCTTTAGGGAGAAAATCAAAGGTATGCGAGTCTGTGTGAGATGGATTACAGAAGATCTGAAAAGCAAATGAGAAAAGAAAATTTTGTTGTTTTTTAATTAGGTTTTTATATTTGTGAGCACATATCACTGCATCTTTGTTATTGTCCACCACTAAAGGCACAGACAGAGCAATAAAGGTTTTACTTATGTTTATGTTCATTTATCTGTACTTTTAGCAAAATACTTCACAGCTAATGAACTTCAGCTTACACAAACATTACTACAACTCAGTAAATCTTCCAAATATACAGAGGTGTAAGTACACTTACAATACTTAAGTATTTTCATTGAGAATCTGTTATTTTACCAAGTATATTTTAATCATGACTTTTACTTTTATTTCTTTACATTCAAAACATAAAGTTGATACTTTACCTTTTTTACTTTAAACAGTTAGTTACGTTTCACAAATTTAAATATGGAACTCCTGAAAAAAGCTGTTTAAGTGTTGAATTTGCTTAGCCAAGTTATGTTGACTGGTTCCAGTAAACTGAGTTGAGTAAATAAAGCAATTTACTCAAACCAAAATACTTTTACTTTTCTGATTACTATTTCATGACTTTCACTGAAGTTCTTTTCTTATCAGTGAATTTTTTTTTACCAAAGTCCTTTTCTGTTAAGGTATTTTTTACTTTTACTTAGTTTATTTTAAGTAATTTATATACAGTACCTCTACAAGCCAAATTTGCTATGATAGTTGACAGTCATTCACACACACTATGCTAACAAATCATGTGTGATATAGGTCAGGAATGGACAACCTATAGTAAGTAAGGAGGGATGGGTACCGGCGGGGCCTGTGAGTTCACCACTGCTGGCCCCAGGGGTTGCTGTATGTGTTCGCTGGTGGGGCTCATCCGGTTCTCTCCGGTGGTCCTCTTTGGGGGGTGGGTGGGCGCCCCTTCCGACGCGGGTGTCCCTAGGGGCTGCGTGCTTGGGGTCCCTCTCAGGGTCTTTGGCACTGGTCTCCCTTATGTCGGCTTCCGGCTTTGCGAGTCGCATCTGTGGTCCCCCCCACACTCACTTTGAAACATTCCACGGGAGAGATCCATGCATGATCACAACCGCACACAAACAGGTGTTTACATCCTGGGTTTTCTATTCGGGCACTGACGGAAGGATATGTGCATATGTGTATGTGTATGTATGTGTGCACGTATGTATATGGGCATACACGTACATGTATGGGTATGTATGTGTGTATGTATGTATTTGTATGTATGTATGTATATGTAGGTATGTATGTATATGTATGTAGGTGTATGTGTATGTATATGTATGTGTATGTATATGTATGCGTATGTGTGTGTATGTATGTGTGTATATATATATTGGTATATGTATGTGTATATATATTTGTATGCATGTATGTATGTTTATGTGTATATGTATGTGTATGTACGTATGTATGTATGTATGTATGTGTATATATTTTATGTGTATATATGTATGTTTATGTGTATATGTATGTGTATGTATGTATGTATGTATGTATGTATGTGTATATATTTTATGTGTATATATGTATGTTTATGTGTATATGTATGTGTATGTATGTATGTATGTATGTATGTATGTGTATATATTTTATGTGTATATATGTATGTTTATGTGTATATGTATGTGTATGTATGTATGTATGTATGTATGTATGTGTATATATTTTATGTGTATATATGTATGTTTATGTGTATATGTATGTGTATGTATGTATGTATGTATGTATGTATGTGTATATATTTTATGTGTATATATGTATGTTTATGTGTATATGTATGTGTATGTATGT